AGTTGACTTTTTTAAGTCATCGGAAAATATGATTGTTATTTGTTTTAAAATAATTCCTGTAATTGTTCGAATTCGAGCAACAGGTGTAATACAACAGCAACAGGTGCAGCCAGCTATAATATTTTTATTCATCTCAACAAGAATCGTAGTAAGTGTTAAATTTACACTCATTTAAATTTCCTCAGTAACTGATAAACGTACCAAAACGATTTAAAATACTAGAATTTTTAAGCTCTACAAAATAGTTTGGATATAGAATTGTAAATTTTATGTTTTAAGGTTCAAATATGAGAAACCCCAATTTCTACTCCATAAAAACGTAGGTTTGCCTGCTAGGTCCAAATTCATCAAAATTGGATAATCTGCTCGAAATAGTGCTAACTGATACATGTATAAATATATGCTATTTTAACCTCTGGGTAGATTATGAATAAACAAATAAATAAAAAAGTAAAGCGGTCCCTGGTCTAAGTCTTATCATGTGATCTACGAATTACGGAATCTAAAACCTAATTACAGTACAGTATCTTCCTACAGCTTGGACACCACTGCACTGTTGTGAGTTGTTCAAACACCGCTAGGGTCGCTACCATCGAGGTTCACAACAGTTCAGCTATTCACCGCTAGGGTCGCTACCATCGAGGTTCGAACAGTTCGCCTATTGACCGTTAGGGGCGCTACCATCGAGGTTCACAACAGTTCGCCTATTCACCACTAGGGTCGCTACCATCGAGGTTCGAACAGTTTGCCTATTGACCGTTAGGGTCGCTACCATCGAGGTTCGAACAGTTCGCCTATTGACCGTTAGGGTCTCTACCATCAAGGTTCGCAACAGTTCGTCTATTCACCGCTAGGGTCGCTACCATCGAGGTTCGCAACAGTTCGCCTATTGACCGTTAGATGTCACCGAATGCAACATACTTAAATCTACCGTTGTTGTTTTATTTAGCAATAATTTACCAGTCTCTATGACAGACAACAAACAAATTTAGCTTCATTTTGAAAAAATGCATCAACAATGCATTTGATTTTAAGCATATTTTTACTATTAAAAGCCGTGATCGTAAACTGAGAAACCTTTTTCTTCGTTGACTCTCGCAGTGATTTTTGGGTAGCTCATACTAGACTAGCTAATTAGCAGGGTTTGTAGCTAGGATTAGGCATGTTAGCCACATATTAAAATATTTACATTATTTGAAAAGCCGAGAGTCGAGTCTCTTACCTGAGGCCGATAATTGGCTTATTGACCATTAATGACTTGTTGAATTGCCTTAAGGTAGTTATCACAAAATTAACAATAGAATGGAGTCAAAGAAAAAGAATAATCAGATTGTAATTGGGCTATTCTACTTTTAGGATTTTCTAGCTTGTAATGGCAGTTTACGCAACGATCACGTAAATATAGCCTTTACGACACGTAGAATGGTACGATCCTTGGCGAGTAAAAAGCACTTCTACGAATGTCGTAAATGCTTATTACACGAGTCGCTCACACTACTTTGCCTCCGATTGTTAATTACGTTTCTTCCTGTTACTTTACAGGGATGGTAGGCCTACTGAGAGCAGCATTTTCGCATATACACCTATTACATATTTGTTAGCAATACTGAATGTATTATATCGGTTCTCTAAAAACATAAAAAATAAAACATACAAAATTAAGGTATCTCCTTGGTTATTCCTATTATCAGAAAAGGGTAATAAGAAGGATCTTAAAGGATTTGCACACATATTATTTTCTCATAACGTTTCTTTGATTAAGGTGGCAAACGATTATTACAAACCTTTTCAGCCCTTGCTTCTATGTCGTCTATTTCACTAAAACTATCCAAAGATTTTTAAAATCTTCCATTAATTTTCCTGCAACTGTTAGTTAGCAAATCGCTTAGTCCAATTTTTTTTAAGTGAAGAAAGTATTAGTTACCAGCTAAAGTCAGCTGATCAATAATTGAGTTCGTTATGATCAGCTGATTAGTTGGCTGCAAAAACACAAATATAACTGTGTAGTCGTGAAACTGGGCTAAGCTAGTTAGTCTCATTGTACAATTGAAATTGTGATATTTAAATTATTTTTAATCGATCTTTTTGAACTTGGTGTCGTTTGGTAGGATATATTAAATACAAAGTAAAAGTATCCTTGACAATATTTGATAAAATGAGCCAATGTCTAGCAATTAAAATAATTAAAACGGTGCAATTTTTGTACGACGGGTCTCTTCTACCTTAACATACATATGAAGTTGCATAAAGATGTGTTGAAACAATTTAAAGGTAAAAATATTAAAGTAAAATATACAAAATGGTGGACAACTAGTTAACAAAGTAATTTTGTAAAAATCATGATTTCCCCTTCATTTATCAAGCAATCACTACATAAATTATGTCCCCACTTTTTTTCAAACAACCTGCATATGTATTGGAACGGATGGTTTTTGACCTGCAGGTCCAGGAACGCCAAAAGGAAAATAAATTCTGTCCTGGGTCCAGGTCTTATCTCGAGACCTTCTTTAATATCTTCCCTAAATGGGAATTTGCTCAAAGGACATGCACTGTACGTGGTACGTAATGAGATTTAGATTTAAAAACACCTGTTATCTATTGACTAGAACAGACCACGGAAGACTTGTGGACCCAAATAAGCTGTTTCCTACTAGGAATGCTGCTGTAATGGCCAAAGCAGCTGCAGGATTGAGGATGTGTTTGCTTACGATTGCCAGAGGTATAAGGGTGTTTACAGGATACCAACAACTATATATAGCGGAAAACCCAGTGTAAAAGCCAGTCTCCAGCTAGCATGGCTTCGGTGAGTGTTTTAATATTCATTGTGTCCGATTTAAAATTAATTAAATGTTAAGGGTTTTAAATATTGTTATAAAAAATATTAGTTTGTAAAAACAGTTTGAAACCTGATTTTTGGCCTTGGTTCGTAAACGAACTACTGTAGAGAATAAAGTAGTTATTTTTGATTATTTGTAACTCTTCATCGCTCAAACAAACGCATCATTCTAATAATATTCACGTATAATTTACATAAACATTACAAGCCCTACACTTATTAGGAAAGATATAATTTCTTGTTCATTAACTTAATAGTGTATTTTGCATTTAGAGGCTGAATTGGAGAATAATTAGTTGAACAAAATATTGGTCACGTTTAGTACATAAAAATATATTTGCTGTACAACTGATCGTCCATATGTAAAGCTAAGAATCGCGAGCTTTTGAGAAAACCGTGTGGTGCACATCAACCGGGTACTTGAATCTTGGTGTGAAACTTCCACGCAAAATATTAATTTCGATAAACCTTCCCCTAAGTTAAACTTGGTAAACTTTAATCAACTGATTGTATTTAATCGCATTCAAAATCTTGAAGATGCATCAGCTGTTATTTGTTTTTATAGTATGTTTACCTTTCCCATAGATAAACTTCAATAGCTGATACCATAGATAAAACACATGTTTTATCTATACTGTTACCCACGGGCTTCAGCCCGTTCGACTTCATAAGTATTAATAGGTTAAGCTGAAATAAACAAAACAGAATACAGAAATACAAACAAATAATCACACCTGATTTTTATGAGGCAATAAATTTAAAGAATAACAAACAAATATGTACAGGTTATGTATTTTTAACATTAGGTATATGGAAAGTTCCCTAGAAAGCAATTACGACCTTAAAGGGCAATTTATGAAATAAAGTTTAGCGCAAGGTTTCTCGTCATGACAAACATTTTAAGTATATGGTTTATGAGGGTGTGGTTTTATCCAAAAGCTCATGGGTACTTTGGAATTTATATATGGATTAGGCTACGTTTTTACTTTACTATGAAGTTAATAGTTTTTATCCTGCCACACAGTTTAATTCGAACATAAAAGAGATTTTTACTAAAATAAGCTACAAGTACGATTGAGATTTTGCCTGTATAATCCATGTAAGTAACTGTAAGTGTGTTTAGCTATTTTCTACAGTAGATTCAGAGACCATAATTATTCTCCTAAATAATTTTGGTTTGTTGCGAAGTATAGGTAGAATAATTATTTACAATTTTAATTAAATTAAAATAAGCAACAGGTGTGATTTGTTGTTATTTGGCTTCTGACTTGAGCGATTTAAAAACACATTGTTTGCTAAGCTGTTTCTTTAATGGTTTTCCCACACAAATCCAATCAATTATAATTAGCTACATTCACTGGTTAATAATTGTTATTCTTGTTGAATTGCCAAATTCTACAGTTATTCTTTCCCACAACAAGATAACTTTGTCAAAAAATATGATTATTTGTTTTAAGTTCATTGTTGGTTATAGGGAGTTATGTTTAAAGATTTATTGCTAACATTTTCCATCACAACCCTGCGATTTTTCTTTTCCTACTTATAGATTTTTGTGTGTTTTGTGATAGGTTATTTTGTATTTTGTATCATGACTTGTTTGAACTACAATTTTTCACAGTAATAAATACTCTCAGATAATTCTGAGAACGAAGAACAATTTTAAAGAGTAATCTAGCAGCATTTACTTACTAATGAGTAGTTATGTTAGTAGTGACTATGATTAATAACATTTACCAATATAAATAAATTTCTATTCGATCTTATTACAGTAGTTTTATCTCGAAAAGGTTTTAAATTAGCAGTGGTTACGTATTTAAGTTCGTAATATCGCCACACTTCACAAAAAGCAGCACTGGCTTTGTAATCTACTTTACCGACAGTGACTAGAAGTTCGCAGATTCACTGCTAGATGTGTCTAAGTCTGTTTCACTCCTTGCTCTGTTAAAGTTTAAACAAAATTGCATTATAAAATAATAATAAATCAGGAAGATCATTTCTGATGAATTTATAGTTGTGCAGAATATGCTAGATACCTTATTACAAGCTGTAAGTAATATTTTTTTTAGAAAATGAGCTTTACGTTGGATTAAATCGTTCGAAGTTCTCGCGGGGATTTTGGTTTTACGATTTAGCCACACCCCTACCAGATGCCAGTAGAAGGTATTTAAAGGGTGTTTGCCGCTTACATGGCATGCAGGTCCTTTGGATCTGTAGGGTATGGCTATCAAGACATACCCAACACATTATTTTTGTAACGTGGGGCTGTTGGCTGCCTGAGCACCGGCGCCCCCAATTAACCTATACGACGACGGTACGTGGTGACTGGATAAGCCATTTAATTTAAATTACGAATTACGAATAGTGTCTTATAGGGACAGAAAAGAAATACCAAAATATCTCTAATGTAAGACAAATAACTGTATTAATAATATTTAAACAAACTAATAATTAATTTAACTGTGTGTCTGTGTCACGATAGGTATCCCTGTACACCATATCCTTTGAGTGAAACCTTTTCTTCCTTTGCCTTGGTTTTCTTTTATTTGTTTTTCATATTTCTTCCAGAGTTTTAAATCTGCTGAGGCAACAAATGTAATTGTTTGTGAGTAAATACTTATTGTTGCTAACTGTAAACAAAAATAATCATCGATTGATTTCTAAATATTTTGACACTTCCGTTTCCCAGTTGCCGAAGCAAATCGCCAAAGCGAATTCCTTTTCATCGGCATTGACACGAATATTTTAGTTAGAACTTAAACGGGAACTACCTCCAGATTATACTGTTATGTATGTATGCTCCCTTTATTTACTATGCATGCTATGTTACATTGTTTGAACTTTTTTCTTTGAACAATAGGTCCAAAACAAACAAAAATCTCTCCCAAACAATACAACTTTTCCATCCTGTCCTTGACAATTCCCTATGCTTTGTACCATTCCTAAATTCTCTCCTTCGTAGTCGGCCTCCCCCCATCACGGTACATTTCAACACTGCATTACCATTCTAACCCAAAAACTAAACAATAAACACCTTTTTTCTAGCTCAAAATATTTCGTGGGGACCGACTCGCTTACGGACGTAAATATATAATTTATAAAGTATAAAGCACAAACTAATTTTTTAATGTGGCCGTAATTATTTTTTATGTTGACCCTAGTGGTTTAATGTATTTTACGTACGGCCTTTTTTTAACTAGGCCTAGCCATTTCAGTTCATTTTATAGAATTTGAAAAAAGATTCCCTTGTCAGCATTGTTTACTTACTTAACAGCATTGTTTTCTTAACAACACGGGTAACGGACCAATGACGTTTAAGGGTTGGGAGAAAATAAGTAAAATTGTAATGCTTCGAACTTCAACTAATCAGCTGTTCAGGCCAATAAGTTTAAGGAGTGGTGCAATTAGTCGTCAGTGGCAATGAGAGATTATAAACGAAAACATAACCTCTCTTAGAAGTTACAAGTATAGATTGTTAGTATTCATGTTACAATAGTAGTTTACGCAACGATTACGTTAAGTGAGTCTTTACGACACGAGTAGAAAATTTAAGGCACGAGCCTTGGCGAGTGCCTTAAAAACTTCTACGAGTGTCGTAAAGACTATTAACGCGAGTTGCGTACACTACTTTACCTACGACAGTTTTTTAATTACTATCAATCTGGATTTAATTACTTACAATCACTAATGATAACGTTTTAGAGAGGTTATGTTTTCGTGTATTGTCATTGCCACTGAAAGTGATGCAACGACTTGTTGTATAATCAGCTGATTTCCTGTAATTACGTGTTTGTTAAACTTCGTTAAATATTACATTGCTAGCAGCATTCTTACCATAAATAATATTGTATCAGGTACAATTTGGCAAATATTTCATTTATTTTTGGACTTCCACCAACTTAATTAAGAATACGCGAGTATCAACATGAACAAGTCGGATCAACAATTAAATTGGTCAACTGATCAGCTGATCAGCTGATTAGTTGACGTTCGAAGCATTACAATTTTAATTCTTTTCTCTCAATACTTGAACCTCATTGGTTCGTTACCTGTGTGGATATGAGAAAACTATGCGGATATGAAATGAAACTATGCGGATATGAAAGTAAACAGCTGTAAAGTGAAACTTTTCAATTCTAAGAACTGGACTGAAATGGCTACTTTAAAAAACGGTCGTAGGTAAAATAGTTTTATGACACGAAAGCTGCTAGCCCAGCTGACAGTCCTTTGGGCTAATGCTGATATAGTGCAGTTAAACAAAACAATTGTTAGTAATTAAAACCCTGTCGCAGGTAAAGTACTGTTACGCAACTCGTACAAGTTTAAATTAATTTCTACTGGTGTCGTGTCGTCAACACCATCTTTACGCGATCGTTGCGTAAACTACTATATTGGTATTCGTCTGATGAATTAGTCAGTTAATTGTTAATTAGCCATCGTTCAAAATCGTTTAGTGAGTAAATGTACCGTTTGATTATGTGTTAAATATAGAGCGATAAACACGTACATAATTGTATAAAAATTGCTCAAAGTGTATTTATATTTTTAGCTTATGTTCCATATAGGAAATACGCTATTGCCGAATGTCTAGTAGTAAGACTGGTGCCTAGAGCCGCCTTACTTTTTCGTTTTGATCCATCCAGAAGTCAAAAACGCCATCCTATCAAATATAATACATAATATTTTTGATTAATCAAATCAAAATATATTTATTCATACAAGACAAGTACATGTAAATCTGGGGTACATCTGAATAGTGGCAACTGTCAACATAGCTATTTAAATTAACATAATGCTACTTTGCAAACCGAGTAAGTTTTAGTTTAAATTTGGAACTGTTTATTTGAAATTTTATTTATTTTGGCAATTTTATGAAAAAAAACCTTGCGCCTTTATAAGACGGCTTTTTAGTGTAAAATTCAAGTTTATGGTGAGTGGATATGATTTTATTATATTTGATTGTGTGCCATTACGTGTGATATAACTCACATAAACAATCATCCAGTTTGATTATATTTGGTGCAAATAAACCCATGTTTATTCGAACGAGTTCACGAACCAGTATAATCAGACTATGGGAAAATTTTCCCATTTTGACCTACAAAACATGTTTTTCTTTCCAAACCATTTTGTATTGCCAATTACATGTACATCCATCGTGTTGAACTCAAATCAGTATAACAAATCGTTGGAAGAGAGATTAGTTTAACCGCTAATGGGAGTTGAACAGGCTCGGTTATGGTATAGACAATATAATTTAATATATTAACTAGTTAGAAATATTACCTAACGTGGTATTCACCCATTATTTACCGCGTGGTCAGACTTTAGTACGAGGATACAGAACAAATTCAACTAATGTACCAGATTACAGATTCCTTGCACTAACATTTCGTAGTAAATATTTTTATGTGTAAATTTACAAGGATTGATTATATACTCGTAGTTGAGTCCTTCGCCGCTAGAGTATCTACGGTTGAGGTTCGCCGCGTCACCGCTAGATGCCACTGAAATCGATATATCATAATTCACCGTTGTTTAATAACTCACTAATATTGTTAACAAAAAATACTGTATACAATTTAGTAAGAAAATTGCCTTCAGCTAAAGAGATAATAAGCTATGCGTTTAAAATGATATTTTTTTAGATTCAAAGCCGTAATACTTCACATAGCCTCATTGTTATCCGTTAACACCCGCAGTGATTTGTAGGTAGCTCGTAATAGACTACCTCACTTGCTTAATTAACTTGTTAATCTAAGGTGGGTCAGACGACTCTAACCGCAGTTGGTTAATTTGCATTCTTTAAAAAGCCGAGAGTCTTGTGTCTTACCTGAGACCGATGATTGGCTTATAAAATGAATAATGACTTACCGAGATAATATTGGGGTTAAAATTCTAAGGTAGCACTTTGTTGCTTATTCTCGAGGGTAGAGTAGAGATGGTATACAGTATCTCATTACTAAAACCGAAGTGGCATTTTCCGGCTCGAGCTCGATTTTCATTGGTTAGGCAATGACGACCAAAGGAAAATCAAATTTTACGTGGGAGGCGAAGCCCAGCATGTGAGAGTTATTTTGAAAATCAACTTATATTGTTTTGTGACTATAAATTTGTATAGATTATTTACATTGATTTAAAATGTTGTAATTCGCACCAGTTTGTAAACTTTCTGTATTCTTCTTCATATCTTCCTCGCGATTTCTCTGGTGGAAGGTGATTGGTTACATCTGAAGCAGTTTTCATCAAATCGTCAGGAATGTCAGTCATACTTTCAGTAATTTCAAACACCCACTATGTTAAAACACATAAAAAATAATGCCTGTTTCTGTATACATTTAGGTTGTGCAGCAATGAAATCAGCTGATTTTATTCATTAAAATAAACCGTAAGAGGTATTTTATGACGGGCGCTCAAGAAAAAAAAAATTACCCCCGTCGGGTCTTGAACCATGAGACCTTCAACTTCGCCTCTGACCTTATATTTGAGCTATTGCTATCTGCAATTTTCGACATTAAAGTTTTCAATCGGTGAAAGAGGAGCCGACAGTTGCAATGGTTGCAATACTTGAAATATTTTTGATACTGTGATTCTGCTTAGGCAACTAGTTGTTGAATTGTTTTCTGGGAGTTGGGGAGGACACCGATATCGGTATTTGAATATAGATGAATTAATTACCATGAGTTACCACAAATATTTGTAACTTATACATGATTAATTTACCTATTAAAGTACTCTAATTCAATAATCATAATGTAATAACTGGTTCAAAATTATAAACAATTGTAATATATTTTCCAAAAAATGATTTATAAAAAGAATTAATTAACTACCATTCTTTACCTTTACAATAAACATAATGTTTTATGTATTCTAATACTTTTCCAATTACTTCATTTCATTTTCAAACAAAAATTGAAAACAGTATAAGCTGTTGTTTAAACATGAATGATAAAACCTATTTAGCTAGGATATATCTAAATTAAATGCATGCGATTTTAAAAACGACCAAAAAGGGAACCAACCCATTAATTAAGATTAAATATCTCAAGTTTAAACAAACATAAATAATCAAACAAATTAAACATTTATTTCAACATTGTTGAAACCTGTACTTTTGAGATCTACACAAACAATTGTTAAATAGTTTTCAAAATAATTTAATTATTTTTTCAGACAATTGTTTTAAAATTGTTTTTAAAAAAATGACAAAACTAAGAATAAGACAATTTTAAAATAGTTTTAAAATAATTAAAACTCGTATTAAAACTGATTTTTATATACTGCAAAAAAC